AGAGATAAAGGCCATGTTAGGGTCTTACACCAAAGTGCTGTTTGTCAGGGACCCTCTCCAGAGGTTGATCTCCATGTTCATGCAAGGCATGGGCAACAGCCCTTCCTTCAGCAGCTTTGTGCAGGACATTTTAGACAGTGGGCAGCACAACGCCAGCGTGGCTTGGAAACCGCTCGTCAGACTCTGCCAACCTTGTCTCATCCAGTACGACTACGTGGTGATGTTTGGCTTCCTCAGGCAGGAGCTGGGTCATCTGCTGCGGCGAGCTGGGCTGCCCGTGGACAGCCTCCTCCCTGAGTTCACCGACAGCCAAGTGCAGTGGACCTACGGCTGGTTATCAGAGCAGATGTTCAGCGAGCTCTCCCTCCAACAGAAGAGGCAACTATCTCATTTCTACCGCTGGGACCTTGCTGCTTTCACGTTTTCTAACAGTTTTCTGTCAGGCCTCCTCAGCACCCCAAAGACCTGGTAGAAATACCCCGGCTGGAGGGACTGTTTTGGAGAGCTTTAATCCAAATGCAAGCGCTTCAAGGTACTGGCTGGCTCATAGGCAGATCCTTGCTCCACAGCTGCATGCAGGACACTTGGCCACATCACAGCTCCAAAAGACACGTAAGAGAGCAGACTGCTGCCAGGGACAGGGCACCACGGCTCCTCGTGCGGCTGAATTTTACTTAAATACAGCAGGAGCAGGTGCTGGGGAAACACGTGGCATTGGGGCTTGGAAAACTGCATGAACCGAACGGTGATGGGGTAAACGGCTCTCAGCAAGCTTTGTGTTTTGGGGTAGGGCGGGTTGGACCTGCTGCAAACCCCAGCAGCATCTGCACGTGCTCTGCCTGCGCTGCCATTTCGTATTCTGGGCTCCCTTTTGGGCCACGAGGTTTGGCAATGGCTTCTTTGCGACAAATCTCCCCAGGCAGACTCAAGCAGCGCTCCCAAAGGAGCGCATCACCCAGAGCCTGTCTACTCTGCACAAGTAGGTGAGATAGGACACAGGGTGGGAGACCCTCCTGGGGAACCACCGGTGATCTTCCCAATCCTTTCATGCTCAGGGAAGGCCAGGCCTGGCCCAGCCCATTGTTCTTTGCAAACTGTTCCTGTTTTGCAACCTCACGTCTCCTGCATGTTTAGGCTCAAGAAGGCCCTGGGGATGCAACACGATGCTTGCTCCATTCGCAAGTTTTGAGTGAGGTTCCCCCCTTTACAGGGCTGGCTCAAACGGGCCAAGCCTAACTTTCCACTCTACTCACTAGCAATGAGACAGGGATGTGGCAGTCTGGACAGGGTACCAGCCACGCCATGCAGCCAGCCAGCCAGCCTTCCACCTTGTCTCAGCAGCTGGTGGACTCAGAGGAGGTGACTAGAAGCGTCAGGATGCACTACTGTGCTGCTGTGGAAAACACGATGCGGCTGCTGTAAGCTCCTCCTGGCAGAGAAGTGCGAGGACTGACTCTGCCTTCTTTTGGACTTGGCTTCCAGTGTGGCCAGTGATGACCCAGGCTCTCCGGCTGGGCAGCCCGGAGCAACCACCCACCCTCTCCCAGCCTTGGCCATTGAGCTGGTCCTGCCTTGCCACCGCTGGGAAGGGTCCATCCTGGCCAAACACCAAGGATGAGCTGAAGTTGTCCAGCTTTCAAATCATGACAGACTTTTACCATAGCAAATTAGTTAACCAGAATTTTTTTTAGCTTTATTTTGCAATGTTGTGACATTCCCAGAGAATTCCGCATACATTCATGTGACAAAGACACTGATCTGACAATGCTCATTAAAGAACGATAGTGAAAGCTGTTGATTAGAATTGACCTAAAACAATTACTGAAAACGGCCTCCCTCTCTCATCAAGGGACATGCAATTAATAGCGTTAAGACATCAGATCAGATGGCCTCCTTTCACCCTCCCACCAACTATCCAGCTACAGCAATTATTTCAAGTGCTGTTATTGTGCGTAATACTTTACAATCTAGCAAGATGGCGTAGTTCCTCTTCTGAGGATACAGTTCTGGAAGGAGAGTAGCAGTAAAGTTCCAATTATACGTAAGAGTCATGCATCCGTGCTGTATTTCACTGAAAAGTACTAGGAAAGGAACACTTTTCTCTCCGTAAATAGCTTTCCCTTCAGCGACTGCAAGCTGAAATCCCACGCAGCGAGATGTGCGTGCAGAGAGCTGGTGCAGCACCTGGTAGAGGATGGTGCTGTGCACCCACAGAGCGGAGAGGTGGTCTTGGACAGCTCGGAGCACATTTTAATTTGGGCTATGCTATAGCAGTATCACCTCTTCCTGCCAGCCCTGCACAGCGGGTCTCAGTCCTTCCCTAAGGTGCCTGGCACTCAGTTCCATGGGAAAGCAATGTATGAAATGTTAAAGACACTGAGAGGTGAAATGAAAATCTCAGCTTCCTGTTCCTTAGGGTCCCTGCCTCACCCACAGCCCAGCCAGGTATTACATATCAATATCTCTGTAAATTCCTACTCATCTCCAAGCTTCCCTTTTTCCTACACCCTTAAAACCAGTTTCTGTAATTACTTTGCAACTCTGATTTTATACCATTTCCCCCCCCTCAGGTGTTTGATATCATTTACATTCAATTCCAGTGCACCCCAAAGGGAAGGTGTTTCCTCCTTCCATCTGCTAGAGGCTGTGGGAGGGCAGTAAGAGGGCCCTGAGCTGGGGTGGGCTTGAGGGCAAGGACTGGTGCCTGGGAAACAGCGGCTCACTGGTGCTGCAGCAAAAATGGCTCCAGAGGCTAAGGTGGGCACTGAACTAAGCCCGCTCTGACCATTCCATGTACACATAACTTGGCAAATACACTTCAGATTAATGCAAAATACACTTCAGATTAATGCACAAAGTGAATGACAAGAGACTCGATACATCTAATTTACAAAACTTCACCTGACCAGGCAGATACTGTGGCCACGTGAGACACCACAAACCCATTCTGCCATGACGGAAAAGGTGCTCCCGGACCCACAGGGGATAAAGAGCACTTATTCATCCTGCTAGTGACATCCCATCACGTTCCCAGGACCCTCAGAGGGAGCAGGCCTCTCGTGAATGCTGGCGGCTTTCCCCTGAGGTGATGCTGGAAGCTCCTCAATATCATATCCTCTGCCTGTAGCTCCCTGTGTTCTGCATTAACACACATTATGTTCCCTTTGCACGTCTTCTCGGCCTGGTCTGAACGAGCATGTCCAGTGATCCCGTGAGGCAGCTGCTGCAGAAACAGTGCCGATACCAATCCACCTTCCAGACTTTGTATTTTGCATCCAAGAACATGAACACACACGCTCTGATAGCTGTTCTTGCACACAAATGATCACATTTTCTTCTCCAAGAGGTTTTTTACATATTTCCAGCTTTCAAAAGAAAACAAAAATGTGTTCTTGCCCAGTACCTCAGAGCTTAAGAAACACCAATATCATATTTCAATTAATAAAACAATCACGTAGCAAACCCAGCAGGCACAAAATACTTTCTGCAACTTACATATACAAATGTCCTTCTTCTAGGTGGTAGAACCATAATATTTTAAACTGAGAAATAAGTCTACACATTTCCAAGCTATTTACCCTGGAGTGCTTAAAGAAAATATTTCAAACTGTGCATACATTGTTAAATCCTAAGATGGAGGCCAATTTTAAGCAGTTTGTATATGAGCAAAATTTTATATAAGGCAATGGAGTTACATCCTCTTGCACCATATTTTTTTGATGGCCCTAGGAGTGCAAAAATAGAAAAAGGACATTTTCATAAAGCTGTGGGCCAGAGAAATGGATAAAAGTTTGCACATGACGAGCAGGTACAGTACATGGCTGGCATCATCTAGAGATAACGTGATGCTACAGTGTTAAATCTGACAGTGACAAAACCTGTGAAGAGGGATGCCCAGCGTTAAATCCAACGTGAAAAATGCATTCAACCCAGGAGACATGAGGTCATTACATAGCACATTTTTCAAACAGGCAGTCCCTGTACCCATTCTCTTACATTAAGCAAAACTAAGAGTTGTCTTGAAAGGAAGGCAAGGCCATAACGTGACAGCAAGGGATTGACCCTAGAGGGCACCCAGAGCCAACTAATCCCCAGCTGTGTCCATCCTCCTCCTACCCCTTCCCTGGGCTGGTATAAATTGCCTTGGGAACAACAACGAGTAATTTTCTCTGATACTCCAAGATCTCTGATGTCCTTTCCTATTTAAAAGATGGGGAAAGATGTGGAGGTGTGGGGCGGGAAAAGGCTGTGTCGGACGATCTTGCTGGAAGTCCTCTTAGTATCTCTATTTTTTTGTCTTTAATCAGAGAAGACAAGGTAGCACGTGAACTAAGAATTCATTAAAGCCCCAGTGCAGACAAAGCAATCGTCATTTAGCTTAGCATAAATCAGCTATTCTTCACATTTTAGGGTTTTCTTCTGAACCAGTTCTGTTACACAGGCAAGACCATCTTCATTAGCTAACATCAAAACTCCTCCTCACCTTCCTCTAGTGTAGATCTGGCTTTGTGTGCAGAGGGGACACAACAGGGTCCAGCCCTCAGTGCCTCTCATGCCTTCCCCCATCTCAGCTAGAGGACTGTTTTGTCTGGGTTCAATGCATTTAAGTCCTTCCTGGCATAGCATCGCAAGGTGATCCATCTTTTCCCCATAGGAAAAGAAAGAAATCCCACCCTGCCATTTCACATTGGCTGGTAATAAGCATGTCTCCCATCCTTGCAGCAATTTTAAATGAAACCTGTAAGATTTTTCAATTACACCTGGATAACATCACCTTCCACTTACTCTTCATTGGAATTTACAACACAGCTATAATCTGGCAGCAATTCCCTCTCCTAGAGAAAACAATGATTGGACAATTAAATGTGAAAGCTCCATGAATCAGTGGGTGAGCCACATGAAGACAGATTTTTTTTTTTTTCATTATAGTCCTCCTGCCTTGTGGTCCCTCCAGTATAAACACAGTTTTGTGAGGAGAGTTTGTTCCCCAAACTTCCCTTTTACACACGCACAGACCATGGCTTAAAGGTCCCTGGCTCAGCAGAAGGGCACTGTAAAGAGAAAAAAAATTAAGTTAGCAACAAATTATGGTTCTGGCTTGGGTTCGGCGTGCCCCTACCATGCTGCCTTTGAGGTGGGTGACTTTGCACCATTGAAGATCTGAGCTTGTATCCCAGTCTTTCAAAACAGAGATGTCTGTCTCATGGCACTGCTGCTAGAGGCTGTGCCTGGCTCTAGCTGAAGGCCTGATGGTCAACAGTTTGTGCAAATTCTCAAAACCATTTCTGAGTCCCTCTCTCCAGATAGTGATGCAGGTGTTAGGTGAGAAGGACTAAGATATCCAGGTTTTGCTGTTACTGCAGTGGGCTTCAAGCTGACAAAAGTCTGGAGGATGCCCACATGGACAGATAGCTGTGTCATACAGGGATCAGCAGGACTCTGTGCTGGGACCCACTCCCTCACAGCGCTGTCACAACACTAACAGAGGAGCAGCCCATGAAGGGACAGCGACAGGGTTAACTCCTGCACTCCTTCAGCTCAAACCCACAGCCTCTAAGGAGACTCCTGTGGTCATAACATTCGGAAGCGAGCATTTTCAGTAACACTTTCCTCTCCCTCCCTCCCTGAGAGACCCCACTAAATCACAGAGTGGACCTGCAAGATACATCAGTGGTGGTGATCCCCTAAGTGATGATAGTCAGGAGCATCAGGACGAGAAGTCAGTGCCTTTGTTCTACAGACAGCACTTGGAGGATGGAGGGATGAACTGCAACTTTGATACTGTATGGCAGCCTTTCCTGCAATGGGAGCCCTAGCAATGCTAGTCTGTTGATTTGTCTCTCACTTGGTGGCACGTTAAATGAAGGATAACACCCATGAAATAAACCCCATCTGCTTACGCAGGGCCACAGCCTCCCCATCCTGCCCTAATCCCAGAACTGGGCCACTGTGACCAGCACACACACTCCATGTGGGGTAGGCTGGCTAGGGAGCTGACTATGAAACCAAGAGCTGTTACCATTTTGGTGAAGATGTCCACACAAGCATTGCGGATCCTCTCTGGGGTGGCAGGGCTGTCCAGCCTGAACGGTTCAGTCAGGCCAGAGTCCTTCCTCGCTGCATAGATGGCATCTTTAATGGCATAAAACACTGACGCAGACAGGAACAGAGGTGGCTCTCCCACAGCCTAGACAGAGCATAGGCAAGAGTGAGGCTTCAGCCCAAACTAGTCCTGG